AAATGGCACGCCTCATGCCACTATGCACTGTGATAGGTCATCAAGGTTAACCACTATTTGCTCGCCATACGTCATAAACCCACCAAGGGGTCACGTCAGTTCATTGTAGGGTGGAGGCAGACCATTTTACCGATTGTGAGCCTTAACATGGGTCACCATAGATTCTTCCCTGGGTTCGTCGGTTAAGATCCCAGTTCGCCTAAGATCCCGCATTTCCTTGCTCCCAAGCACCGGGATCTTAGGCGGAGACTACTGTAATTACAATAATGACAATAACAATAATGATCACTGCAAAAAAAAATATAAATAAATAAATAGTCCCACCAGCAGCTCATTCAGCTGTAAGTAATAATAATAATAATAATAAAAATAATAATAATAACAATAATAATAATTTAAAAAATAATAACTATAAATAATAATAAAAATAACATTTGTATATCTCCACCAGCAGCTCTACAATATTGTTATTATAATTTTACTGAAACTGTTAAATAAATTTTCAATTTAACTAAATAAAAACCTGATAGTCACACTTGCCCATACCAAACTATAGTGGAAACAGGCTTGCTGGAACAAGTATTCTTTTCCCAACATAGTAGTGGGGGGGGGTTCTCGATAATTTCGTTCAGAAATTTTTTAGAATTAGTTTTTAAAACACAAATGTATCTGGTATTTTTAGGGGATTATTTCCCCTGTTCTAATAATTCAGAGCATGTATCAGGACAGCTCCTGAGGGGTTAAAGGGTTAAGCTATGTAAGTCAGTACAGAGCACTGAATATGATAAAATTCATCACTTTAATCGCAAACATATTTCTGTAAGATTTACATAAACATATGTGAAGTGTGCTGACAAAAAGAGTTACTTGTTGGATTTGAGCCTTAAGGAAATGGATACATCATGCAAACAGGTGAAGTTTTTACAATTTATAAGTATGAAATAATAAAAGGCATGTTTTAGTTAAAGAATATGGGACCAATAAAAAATCTACAAATTTGACCCTAGCGTCAAATTTTGGCCAATATCTCCATTTTGTGGACCGCGAGTAGTAACTCATTTTGTCAGCACGCCTCACATATATCAGTAAGATATACATAAACACATCTTTAAGATTTACATCATAAACATATCTGTAAGATTTACACAAACACATCTGTAAGATCTGAGTGGGCCTGACCTGCAGATGTAGCTGAGCGTTCTCCCTCTGTAGTGTGCGGACTTTCTGTAAGTCCTGGCCCGTCTCTGCCTGGATCTTGTTGATGGCCGTGTCGCGGTCTTCTCGCAGATTTCTCAGCTGGAGATACACAGTGGGAGATGAACAGAAACTATTTAATGCGTTCAACACTGTACGTATAACATACAAATAGATGTTGATAAAGTTTAGGGTTTTTAAAGGTTTGTAAGGGGTTTTTCCTCGTGTTCCATAAAAAGCTTTTATTTTTTTCACGCAACACCCCCTCCCAATTCCCCCCCCCCCCAATAACCACATCCCTTAACACACACCTCATTATCTTGCTGTTTGACCATCTCCTCCAACTGTTGCTGACAGTCTGCCTTGGTGTGCCTGTACTCTGTACACACCCCTCCCCCCTCCACCTCCCACAAATCCCAATACACACACACACAAATATACACACACACACACACACACACCCCCACATACCTCAATATCCTGCTGTTTCACCATCTCCTCCAACTGCTGCTGACAGTCGGCCTTGGTGTGCTCGTATTCCGCCTTCAGGAAGGACATCTCGTAGCGGACTTTGCTGAGGGCTGACCGGTATTCTTCCACTTCCGCTTCCTGTTTCTTGGTACGCTCTCGGTACACCTGCTCCAGCTCATCCACAATGTTGGCCTTGATCACCTCCAGCCTCTGGGGCGTGATCATCTGCACAAAAAAAATGATGAGATTTCTTTTGTTTGAGTAAAGGGTAATAGTCAGTTGAAGCCTCCCCCCCCCCCCCCCCCCCCCCATTTATGCCTCTATGTCTCTATGTGGGGCCACAGAAAGGTCAATATCATGTCATATTTCAAGAAAGACAATTTTGATTTAGGGGCCTAACTTATTTTAAGAAATGAGAGGGGGGCGCGGTTGAAGTTGAGGCTTACAAAGTAAACCGTATTTTTGAGAAAAACCCCCCACCAAAACAAAGAGACACTGACACAACAATGGTCATAAAGGGAAAAGAAAAGAAAGACAGATGGTAAGACAAAACAAGTTGCTGTTGTCAAGCCCGAAGAATTTACGCTCAAGTTGTTTCTCATACAGTGCCTTTCACTTTACACGTGTACATAGCTTGTGTACAAAACATACTGTACAAGTAACTTACCTTTGTTTTCATCTCCTCCACTTCAGCGATTTTCTCAGCCAAGTCTCGTTTACATGCCTCATACATCGTCAAATATTTATCCTTTACAATGCGTGATTCTTCGATGGTGGATCTATTCTCAGCTTCAAGTTCGATAATTTTGTCTTGCAGCCTGTGGAAAAGAAAGGAAATGTTAATGGCACAGTCCTCATACATATATCCACTCAACTCAAGCTTTGACAAAAATAGCACTACATATCATGTGACTCAGTTCCAGCGATGTGAATACCATGCAAACTGACACTGCATGGCTAACAAATGGTGGTCATGGCTTGAAAAGTCCATGCTTCTTTTCCCATCAGAAATAAAGAATACCCACTGCCGAAATCTTTGCCATTAGTCTTTTAAAGTACTGTATTCAAATTCAAAAGACTACTTGGAGTTAAAGGAGACAAAGATAACCAAAGATATGATACTGGCTTCAGAAGTCATAGTAGTAAATCCACTCTCAAACATATGACCTTTATATGGTATGAAAAAGTCTAAAATAAAGAAACTCACTGAAACAGAGAAGAATCAGATACTTTTAAATATCGATCAGTTAGATACCAGTCATTACAAATCCCTACAAGAAATAGCAACATGAAAACAAACCACACTATAACACTTACCTCATGTGTTCCACCTTGAGCTGCTGATAGTTTACTTTGTGCTTCTCCGCCCTTCCCTTCTCGTCGGAGAGCAGTTTCTGTAGCTCCGTCTCCATCGTCAGACGAGGAAGCTGGCTGCCCAGACTTCCCCCCAACTGGCCGGCCATCCCACCTCCTGCGACAACACCGGCGGCCGCCATACTGTAACTGGGACGAGTTACCTCAGTCTGCACAAAAGACAGAGAGGAAGTGCCGTTGGTTGCTGTTGTTACATTCAAGAAAAGTCTTGATAAAGATTATATAATCATAAACAACCCAACATTAAAGCCTTGAGAGGGGGTCGAAGGGCATGGTATGATAGCAAAAGTTGTTTGTTAATTTTAACAAAACACACACAAAAAATCATAGTTCATCTAAAATGGAACTCTCTGTTCATTACTTTTACTTCCAATTAAATTGTATCACATTCACTAGACACCGAAACATGAGTGTCTTTAAATAAAAATTAAAGTAAAAACCAAAGCCAAAACGACTTTTCAATCATGATTACACCAAGGACCAAGCTGCAGTAGAATAAGTGTTTGGTGTTCCTTTAGCAAATCTTATCTGTCATCGAGAAAGTAAAAAAAAGCAAGGAAAGAGAAATCACAGCAAAACAGGAAGTAGAATTCTCATATTGAAGCGTTTCTATGGTCTACAAATTACATGGTTCAAGAAGGCTAATAAGTATAAGTAATAGATTCTAGATCTAGATCTAGATTCTAGATCTGTCTAGAATTTAGATCTAGAAGATCTTACTAGATTTCTAGATCTAGATATCTTCAAAAGTAGAAGCAGCAGTTTTCTGTAGATTTTATATTTTCTAGTTGGTCATAGGGTCCTCCATGGCGACCATGGGTAGGCCTACTGAGGAAATCTTGAATAATTTGAAGTAAAGGTGATAATTCCCTCCAGATAACATACCAGGCCTAGATCTAGATCTAGATCTATAACCAGGCTCAGATCGGGATGTAGATCTAGATCTAGACTAGGCCACCTTCTATCAGTGAGGTGTGAGCCACTTGACAACACAGACTCAACTAGATATCTAGGTCTAGTAGTCGGTCTAGCTCCTATCCTAGATCTACTGTAGCAAGACTAGGCTACAGTATATTTCGATGCGTGAGAATTCAGCTTAACACATTCAGAAGGGAGAATTTTAATTTCGATTCAAAGTTAAATATCTGAAGAGAATCTGGAATACTGGTTGGGTAAGGGGGCAAGTGAACAAGTACCAACACGCTCTGCTCTCTTTCACTTTCGTTTAGAAAGCGGCTGGCAGTCAGTCTACAGAAGGTAGAATCTAGATTTCAAAGCTAAAGCAGGGCTAATTCCATTTGAATTTTTTTTTAACATGTGGGATAATAGCTATGATGCTTAAAATAGAGTTTCAAGCATCTGTACCTCTTGGTCACCTCTGCATCATACTATTATCAACGGACTAGAAAACCTGTCTCATCGAAGTCTCAAAATTCCAAACACGGAGACCGGAAGTTTACGTTTGAAACTAGGACAGCTGTTAATCTCCCTTTGTGGAAAAAAAGTGGACTGGATTGTGGATTTCTTTACAAATTAATGACTGTACATGAACTTGCGGATCGGTAGCCTTTATCCTATTAGTTCAGATTGAGATGGCGCCTGTACAGTTCTAGCGGTCTGGTTATGCTGTTTAGGTCTCCATATTTCAACTCCATTATCTGCCTTGTCATTGTCTGACAAAACAAAACAAAACAAACAAACAAAAACAAACAAAACAACAACATCAACAACAAAAAACCCCCAACAAAAGCAATGAATATTAACAATAAGTATTTATTGCTGTTGAATAATGATATATAATAATAACACAGTCATAAAAAATAATTATGATAGTAATAATAATGAAAGTAATAATAGGCCTAAGGATAATAGTAAAAATAATAATAATAGGCCAACAGTCTGAGAAAAAAGTTTATATTAAGCTAGGGCACCAGGCCTGTCGGATCACAGACATTTTGAATCAATACCCATAGTGCTGACCCCCCCCCCCCCCCCAAAAAAAAAAAAAAATTAAAAAAAAATAATAATAATAATTTTAAAAAAAAATAAAAAAAAAATATTAAAAAAAATAAATAAATAAATAAATAAATAAATAAATAAAAATAAAATAAAATCCTGTTAAATTGTTCCTCTGAAACTTCAACACTACAGTGTAGGCTACAGACGATAAAATGTGCAAGTTTGTGTTTTTGGTGACGCTTGAAGTGCGCCAGGGCTGCCGAAGGAACATATTATATTATATTATAATCTATAATATATTTATTGTTATAATATATGTGTCTGCTACGTTCTCAAAGAGTAAATAGACCTATATATTATCAGAACTCATACCTCCCGGGGCGGTGAAACTGACTGAAGTGTCTTTAGGCTATTCTCAAACGGGGGACATTTCTAGTTCATGCACAGTAGAACTGTAAATGGGCTGATCTAACAATTACATCATGCTCATAACTGTGCCTGAACTACAACAGGAGGGAACTGCTGCTTTTTCTTTCCTCATCCTTACTATCGTTATTTTCCTCCACTTCTTTTGTATGTTTTTCACACACTTGTTACCCGCTATTTCCGGGGTGCCTTGATAGTCGAAGCAGACTTTGTGTTGTTGAGGCTAGAGAGGTGAGCAGAGTCTGATTCCCTGTATAAGGACTTCTGTTGACATCCACCCCTTGGCGCTCAAATGACATTATGCAGTTGCGAGCGCCGTAAAACTAAGACCTCTACTAAAACAAAACAAAATAAGAACTCACGTGGGGTGCAGTAGCCAAGGAATCCTCCATCACTGTTTGTTGTTTGTATATTGTGGATGTTTCAGGGAATCTGTGGGAGACATCTCCTACTTTTTAGTATCTATATAATATTATGTCATTTTTAGGCCTATGATAGACTGTTTTCTTCGATATTGATTATTTCTATAATGTGCTTCATTTTAATGAAAAAACACACCTGCGAACAGAGGTGTAACTAACACACACACACACACACACACACAAACACACACACACGCACACACGCACACACACACACACACACACGCGCGCCCGCACACACACACACACACACACACACACACACACACACACACACACACACACACGCATGGCCACACGGTTCAATGATATTAGTATCACCTATTTGTATTTCTGGGACGAGTTTGAGTACAGATAAATGAAATGGACACAATTATAATAATCACTTAACAGTGGGGAAGAGCAATATAATTATTTCTAGTTTTGAGTTGGAGTTCGAGAGTTTCAAGTCACTATCCACAAAAACACAAGCAAACTCACCGCCACAGATGACAACAATGAACCATCAACGTTTTAAAACCAAGTAAATTAAGTAACCAAGAACCTCCCCCCACCCTTTCCAAGACAAAACACCTGCCGTTGATGAACTGACAGCAGAAGAGATAAAGGCAAACGGTGAGGCAAGAGAAGCGAGATAGCGCAGGATCTTCCTCACTGTCGCAGCATGGCACACAAGGGAAGTCACGAAGGCAACATGTTTGCTAAGATCTTGGAGCAAAGAATACGACCAATCATGGAAATCCAAATGTGCGAAGTCTAGTTTGGATTCAGGAGAAGCAGAGGATTCACAGATGCCATAAAAAAAAATTGAGGAGACACATAGGTGGTTACTGATTACAATTAAGTATTACATTGTTTAGTTTTAGCTAGAGTTTTACGGCGCTCGCAACTGCATAAGGTCATATGAGCGCGTGTATTATAAGTTGGTTGCATTCACAACAGTTCATTGCACGGCCAGGTTCGGGCCAACGATCAGAATATAAACTGTTTAAAAACCCGAGGTAAAATAACAATCTTAAAATGGTAATCTGCTAAAAATCAAAACAATTAAGTATAATATATAGATTTAAGTACATGTAATCAACCCAAGCAAGATAGTCAAGTAACATCTACGACAGAAAGAAGACATTATAGACGATGGACACATCACCAGCTGCGTCCTCCACCGACCCACCCCTGGCCCAGCTTTGAACTACGTCACAGTAGCCAGCGCTTATGCTTGTTTGTTTGTTTGTTTGTTTGTTTGTTTGTTTGTTTGTTTGTTTGTGTAAAAAGAAACACATTAGCGAACATGGTTAAATGGTGTAGATTTAACGCCCGTATCAACACTGTTAGCTTCGGTAAACAGGGATGATTCAGCACCCCGGAGTGACTAAGGCATATCTGGAAAAATGTTATGATGCTTTTGAGATTATTTTTTTCGATATCAAAAGTGATTTTGAGTATTGTTTCAATGCATTACACAAAAGAGTAATCAGTTTGGGGGAGTATTTAGACTTTCCCAGCTATATACCTTAGTCATCACAGTAATTCTGTTTACGTTATTTAGGAAGCGGAAACACATCGGCGCAATTTCGGACTTTTAGTGGAAAGATTGTTTTTGTTTTAGTAGAGGTTTTACGGCGCACGCAACTGCATAAGGTCATATGAGCGCCAGAAGATTAGAGGTG